ACCAAAGTTTTTCTTCTTCAGTGACTAAAGTTTTAAAAGTTGGTTTCAATGATCTTCTTATCACTAACCATATATAAGTATATCTTTATACTTATTCTCTTAAAAATCAAAAATGATCATTGAACCTTTTCAATCAGTGATTAAAAATGTTTTTAAATGCCAGTTTCAGTGATTCTTTTATCACTGACACTGATGTCTTAAAACCCTCACTGAAGTCTTTCATCTTCAGTGATAAAATGTTTTAAACAGTCTTTTCAGTGTTTAGTTAAACATTGTATGACTCTTTGCTTTCTTAAAAACCCTTCGTTTTTAAAAGAAAATAGCTAATGAACCGTCTTAATGACGACATTCTCTATTTACTATGCGCAACGCTTTGAGACGGGCAAAAAGGTACTGTCATTACGCTACCTCATTTAATGTCATCCAATCATGGATGAGAACGTGCCATTTTTCATCATGGCCACTTTCCCCAACCGTCGTCTTTTCACTCTCTCATATTTCTTCTCTCTCCTCCTACCTATAAATATGAGACCTCTCCGCCACTTTTCTCTTTACGCTTTCAAAATTCTTAGACAAACCTCTGCAAGAATTTTTCCATAGCAAGAACTCTCTCAAATTTTCAGGAATCTCTGGACCTTACTCTCTCTAAATCCTTAAGGTCAATATCTATTTTCTTCATCTTCTTCTTCTAAGAAATTTGTTTAATCTGTTTAAGAAACTTATTCTATTAAAACATTAAATAACAAAGATTATTTAACCAACTCTTACTTGGTTATAATCTTATTTTTGTATACACAATCTACTTGAAAAACCCTAAATCTTCTTTAAGAATTTTTCAAAAGAAGTTTTTATTAATTCAAAAACTTTTCAATATTCTTCTCCCAAAACAATCTTGGTTTTACTAACAACCTGTTTTATCTTATTCTTATTTAAAATAGATGGCAGCCAAGAATGTTAACTTTTCTCTTGACGAGGTATCCTTCAAGGCCAACAACCACATTGCCTTGTTGGATATTCCCTCTTAAAAGGTGGACTACCAAGAAGCGGCCGACTTCCTCAAACAGTCGTCGCTAGGCTTCGCACTCAACCATGAACCCATCATGGTGAAAGAACTTCTCCAGCAGTTTTGGTTCACTGCTGAGGTCGTGGACGTCGAGGTCAAGCCTAGACGTCAAGTTGAACAAGCCAACTTCACCTTCAACCACATGGACGTGAAGTTTGGCGTGAACACCTTGAGGACGGCTCTTCGCCTTCCCAAAGGCCCCTATGACAGCGAACTCACAACGACCGAGATCATCGAGTGTCTATACGCCATTGGCTGTCAGTGGCCAATGAAGAAGGACTCAAATGCTCCCATTAAGTCCTTGTCGAAGATCGAGAAGAACAGGATATCAACTGTCTAGCAATACTTGTTCCCTCACTTCATCCAGTGCATGGGTGGAAAGACTGGAGGCTAGGACCAGGCCTCTAGGATCGCCTTAACCATAGGCATATCTGTGATTCAGCGTCGCAATATAAATTATGTTGCGGTCATTTTTGATGACCTGGTGCTCAAGCTGAACAAGCACCAGCGAGAAAAGGTGGTGCCTTACACCAGGTTCCTTTCAATGGTCTTTGCGAAGATCTTTGGAGATCATTACTTCACGGAAGGAAACCTCCAGGTTTCCAAGCTCGGATCCAGGATTCTGGATCATAAGCTGAGGGACAGTGATGTGGTGCTAACTTCTTTTGTGTCCATCACTACCTCTTCTCCTCAGGTGGCCAGGACAAGGGTAACCCCCCCCCCCAAGTCTAGCCCAGCCACCAAAACCTCTTCCAAACGACCCTCTCAACCAACTCTTGGTTCTCCTCAGGGAGAGGGGGAGATTGTTGATCCTCTCTCTCAGTGATTTGGTGATAATCCCTTTTCACTTATACGTTGTATTTATGTTTCTGTCTTTTCAGTTTCAGCGATCATCACTGAGCATGTTCAATGATCGTTGAAGAACTTGTATTGTAATTCAATCAGAGACAGTGATACTTCAAGAAGACAACACTCACACCAAAGAACCTTAAGCCAAAGTCGAAGACTAAAACTGAAGATTAGAGACTGACGAGTACGTGATCTGAAGCGGTACTCAGTGATTACAAGTCTGTCTACATATATGTGAAGACTGCTCAAGCCTCAGCGAATACTGAAGAGACCTCCAGGTTATTCCAGCATTCAGCGATCAAAGGAAGCTTGTCAAGCACGATTGTTGTTGTCTTGTCCTTATGCACACAAAGGACAAAACCATACCCTTTCTAAGTACGGTATGGAGCTGACTAGTCGACTCTGTTGCCCACCAACTTTAGGTAAGAATGTCTGCTCATGAATAGTCTTTTTTGTACTATTCACTGTAGCAAAGGACAAGCCTTCCTCTTAAGGCTTGACACGTAGTCTAACTCTACCATATTGCATTAAATGAACATTTAATGCATTGGGTATAAATAAAAGTGTTTTTTCTCCAGGCAAAGTGCGCGCAACTCACTCTCATAACCTAATTCTTACTTTGAGCATTCTTGCTTAAGTAAAAGAACTTTTCTTTACAACATTTCTTTTCTCATTTGCTAAGATTTCGTGTGTAACCAAAGATTGTTTAGATAGGTTTTCTTATCTTATCTTTTCGCAAATAGTCTTGTAAAATTTGTATTGATCTTCTCTATCAACATATATTTTAAATTTGAAAATATTGCGTTTGTATTCATCCCCCCCTCATTCTACAAATTGTTTTACTTATCTTGTAGACCCTCAAAGGGACCAACACAACTTCATCCAAAAAAAAATATTATGTGAAACAATTTCATAAGATTAAACAATTTCATGAAAAAATTTCATAAGATTAAACAATGAAACCGCCCTCATTTGTGTAAACCGTGCAAACCACCCTCATACGTCGATTTCATTGTTTAATCTTATGAAATTTTTTCATTAAATTGTTTAATCTTGTGAAATTATTTCATATAATACTTTTTTTTGATGAATTTGTTTCATACATGGTTATGAAATTGTTTCATATAATATTTAATGAAATTTTAAAGAAACTGTTTCATGTATTTCTCTAAAATTAAAATAATGAAGATGATAATATCCATGATTAACACCCTCCACAATAAAAATGGTTAATCAATCTCTCATAATTACAAAAAAATGAACAAAATGAAAAATTATGGTTGTTGAATGAAGTTTTCACGGTTTTTACAAATTAAGTGGTTTTTATTTGAACGCTCCCCTATATATATATATATATATATATATAGAGAGAGAGAGAGAGAGAGAGAGAGAGGCGGAATCAAATGAAAACCGTCTAATTCTTAGAAACTATGTAAACTAATTTCGACCAATAGGAAAATTCCTTTTTTTCTTAATTAAATTTAATCATTAAGGGTAGAATTGTCATTTACATTGTTTTCGATTAAATAAGAAAGTTATTAAGAGATCTTAATTAAGGTATAATAAAAGAAATTTTAGAAATGGTAATATGTTAATGTCTTTTTAAATTATAATTTTAATAATTAAATATTGTTATTTGGTTTCTCGGTTTATTAGTGGTAACAATAAGAAAATTGAAAATTATTATATTCATTAATCAACGAAATCAGTAACAGATCCAAACAAAGATTCATGAACCAGTAAAAATATAATCAGTTGTGAAACAGATTCATGTTAGATTTCTTTATTAAAACGTTCATTGAGGAGCTTGTTTTATGAAACGTATGCAGATTGGTTATATTTGAAGGTATACATTGACTCTATGAAACATGTTCACTTAATGGTTAACAAAGCATGTACTGGTAAATGCATTGACTCCATGAAACATGTTTGTATTGAAAGAAATTGGCTGATGAAATGGGTGCATAACGAAAGTGAAACCATTTCATAATTGTCAAGAAAATGTTGTGTTATTAGCTAACAGTGAAACAATTTCATTATTACAATGAAACGAATCCATCTACCAAAGCCTGTAATGGTAAATGCATTGACGCTATGAAACGTGTTCGGATTGAAAAAAAATTGCCAATGAAATGGAAGCATAATGAAACTGAAACCATTTCATAATTGTTAAGAAAATGTTGTGTAATTAACGAACAGTGAAACAATTTCATAATTAGATTGAAACGGATTCATCTACCAATAGCATGAAAATGACAAATGTCTCATCTAACATCACGTTGATTTGTGTATTGATGAAACTGTGAAACCATTTCGTTGATAAAATGTAGTAGTAACTTTTGTTATTATTATTCAAAAGGTTTCATTATGTTAAATTGATTATAGTGTTTTATTTTTATTGCTAATCTATTTTAATGATGGATGTTATTTTTTTATATAATATTTGAACATAAAATTAATATATTATTTTACAAATAATTTTGTTTCATTAATATTATGATATACATGATAGGATTGCCATTAATATTACCACTACTAAAGTTACCATTTTGCCCTTCTAAGAATTATAAAATAAATTTTTATTTGTTTATTTTTTTTAAATTCTTAATATAACTTAAACTAATCTTGACCATTGATCAAAAAAATGAATGGATGAGATTGGTTTACATGGTTTACACAAATGAGGACGGTTTTCATTTGATTGCTCCTCTCTCTCTCTCTCTCTCTCTCTATATATATATATATATATATATATATATATTGATTAGCTTGGATATCCAACCCGATATGCAAGCCGACTAATCCCATGACGACTACCTGCTTTATAAATAGCCCGGAATCATCGCATTTAAACCTCCATGGCCACAAAGGGATTTTTATTCCTCCTTGGATTTGAACCTATAACCGATCTTACTATCATTGGTTTATCTAATTTATAAACGAATGAAACTTGGGTTAGATCAGGTAGAACTGTTTGGTTTATTTTCGGGTTGGAGGTTTTGATTGGTTTGTATTTTTTATTCATATAAATAAATCTAAGTTACCATTAGCTTTGATTTTTATTTTCATCCTATTCAAAATGTTCCCAAATAAAATATAAAGCTTTACGATGAACATTCTGTGAATAACCTCCATACATACACAAATGCAGATAAAACTCCAACTTCCTACCTTTTATCAGCACCCTCATCAAAATAAGAGGCTCCCTTGACTCGAAACGCCAGTTGTTTCGAATGTTTTAGCACACGCCGCTCATCGAAGCTTTCCCATCCTTCAAACTGCAATCACAATCCTCCTATTCAGAAACTCGATGTACAAAAAACAGCAACCAGAAATGAAAATTATGCACCTCTCGAAGCATGTCCATTGTTATTTCGGTGCCATGGAGGTCCAGTGTGGAGAGATGTGTGCAGTTTTTCAACAATGTCGATGGAAGTGATTTCAGCCCGTTGTTGTGAAGATGCAAAGCCTGCCATGATCGATAGCTGGAACATCAAAATGCAAGAGAACTGGAAGGAGCAAAACCAAACGATCATATATATCCCACATGAGCCTCCCATGAGGTCAGTTCATACCTCACCAAAGGCGACGGGAGTATGTGAGTATGCCATATATAAACATTTTATACTCAAAAATAAAAAAGTAGAGCGACTGTTTTGCCATGATGCCTTGTAAAATATGAATTAGCTAGCTCCAACTTAGGATGGCACTATGATAGTTACTATGCTAAAATGGAGCATTTTTCTGCCTGGTATATTCTTATACTCCCATCGTTCCAAAATAAATGTCGACAACGAAAAAGGCACTTAGTTTTTAAATTGTGTATAATATCACATCTTTTAGTATCAGTCAAGTGTACTAAAAAAGCTTTGATGTAGAATCTTATATCATGACAAATACGGAATTACAACTTAAAGTGACGTCAAAATACGAAATGCTTTAAATCTTCATGGACTATACGTAGTTCAGCCCATATGCGCTGAGGCTACTACTTAGTGTTGCATGCCCAATTGTCAATCTCAATATTCACAATACAAATTGGATGGCCTAAGTAACCTTCAATGATCAAGACGCATGGAAATCTTCTCAACCCAAATCAATATAAGTTAAGTGAGTATGTAAAGTTAGCTTAAAATACTTGCCAACAGACAGGACAGTAAAACGCACACAGAGTAGGGTATGGGGAGGATAAGGTATAAATAGACCATACATCTACCCCGAGGGTAGAGAGACTTTCCATAAACACCCATGACAAGAAAAAAGTTTTAGAAAACATGATTTTGCGAGAAACACTTGGCTCCAGAAGTTGGATAAAAGTTTGAAATAGAAGTTGATCAAATATAAATGGAAGAATAACAGATAATGGTAATTGCATGAATGGTAACAATTGGAATACTATAGCTGTACAAACATTAAAAACATACAAGACATTGACTCTCGGGCCTATCTCTACCCATCCCCAACCCTTAACCACCTCTCCACCCCCTTCCCCGGCCCCAATAAGCACAGGTCCATACACATAATCTGCTACCCTAAGCCTGCGTATCCACAAACTCCTATCTGAGGTCATGCCTTCCGAAATGCCTAAGTACGCCATGTCTAGTCTTAGTTGCTCGTCCGATGTCCTCCTTGCCTTCCCTTCCTCACATCCTCGACTCTAACGCTATCCGACCTCCTCACTGGTGAAAATGAACCGGAAACACCCTAAAGCCGCCATATATATTAAGGCTCCTTGGTATTTGGAGTGTTGATGGAAGCCTTCTTATGCAACCTGACTTGCATTGAGCAAATAGGATGCTTCCATTGCTCAAACAGTAGACCTTCCGTCCCCTGCTATTATTATATGGGAATAAACTAAATTCCTACCAAGACTAATCATGCACTATAATATATATATATATATATATATATAGAGAGAGAGAGAGAGAGGGAGAAAGCTACAAGGTATTTAGGGGTGTGCATCGGGCGGGTCGGACGGGTTCGGGTGGAAAATCAAAAACCCAATCGGATTTCGGATTGCTTCGGGTTCGGGTTGGTCGGGTTCAGGTTTAGTTATAATGCAAAAAATATATATATCCAATAGATTTTGACGATGAATTCAATCGATTTAGAGGATTCATAAATCGGTAATATGCTTAGAAATTAGAAAAAAAACACGACCGACTAAGCTTTTTAGAATTTCCAAAAGATAATTAGATATAATGTTCTCATGTTTTCTAATTTTGATCTTGTTCTCCTTTGAACCCATCCCTATATATGGGGGTAAATCATATATAAATTGTATAAAAGATAGAGACCATGAAAACCAATTTGTATTTGTTGTTTTATAGATGAAACGTCAATGAATGTTTTGTGCGTGAAAAAACACAAAAATACATTTACATATCAAACACAAACTCATACACACAAGAACAGGTGAAACAATATAAATCATAACTAAAATCAAACTCATTGGATGGTTTTGGTTGATTTTCATGGGTTTGGTTTTCACATGTGTTGCAATGTAAATCAACTGTAATCAATAAACATGGGTTTTTGCAATTTTATATAAATAAAAGAGTAAATTACAGATGCGGTCCCTGTGGTTATATCAGAATTTTGGATTGGGTCACCGAAAACAAACTAATTACAGATTTGGTCACTGTGGTTTTGATTTCGTTGCAGACTGGTCCCTCCTAAACTTTGTTAGGTGACGTTTGTTTTTTAAGAGGTGTTGAAGTCTGAAATCTGGTTTCACTTCTGATTTATAATTGGTGGTGCTGAAATCTGAATCAATAAGACTATTTATTTTTGTAAAATAACATGTGTCTTAAGCCTGAAATCTGAATCAAAATAAGAGCAGAATTACATGCCTCAGTTAATACGATATATATATATATATATACACAGAGAGAGGATCATATCAAACACCCAAATTTATTTTATCTTTGTTTCTCTCTTTTCCCCTCTTTCTCTCTCTCTCACTACCGCATATATTCATCATTCCAGTTTTAATCATGAACCAGAGAAGCCCACATCAAGATTTCTTAGTCAAAAGACATTATTCTAAAATCAAGATTGAAATCTGAACAACTCACAGGGGCAGTATCGAGGAGGATGAACATGCCCTTGGTTCTTATTTCTCCTCCTCTCAGATCTTAACTGTTCTTTAGCTTATTGATAAAACAAAGATCAATTGAGATGGTGAAGTCAATCGATTGATGAAGCACATATTGATTGAGAGGGTGAAGTCGATCGAATGATGGAGTAGAGATCAATGACCAATCTCGTGGAGCAAGGCGATAGATTAGGTTGAAGTCAGTCCTCTAGATAGTCTTTAGGATTAAGAGGCAAATAAGTGGCTAGGTTATCACTTAATTTTTCAGAAGACAATAAGGGATAAGAGGCTCTGAAAAGAAAAGAAAAACAAACGGTCTGAATTGTCTTATGTCTGACCGAAATAGACATAAGTGGTAAAATAAAAGTGTTTTTTAAAAAAAACAAACACCACCTTAGTCTGGAGTCATTAGAGTCCTCACGTGCTCCCATGTGAGGTGTATATTTGTCATTTTAAAAACATTTTATATTTTAATAAAAAAACTTTCCCTCTCAATTGATGTCAAAGAGCCCAAATCAAATTCCCATTTTGTATGCTTCTTGATCACATTCTTCAAATCGTAAAAGAACCCTTCATCTTGTTCTTCAACTTACGGCAACATCATCATCTCCATCGATCCTTTAATGTTCATCTAAAATCTAACAAAAATGCTGCGCACACATGGCTGAGTCGAAGCAACTTAACAAAGCAACATGTTCTGGAAGTATATGGTGAGTTTGGTTTTGCTCGAGGAAAAGGTTTCACTTTAGAAAACGATTTTTTTGGTTTTATTCATTGCTTTTGGTTACTAAGTTTAGTCACTAGGGTTTTTATAATTGGTTTTTCATATGGTTTTGTTCATTGGTTTTGCATTTGGTTTTTTTCCATTCATGTTTACCCCACGCTTATTACATTGAAGATTTATCATGGAGGTGCTTTCACGTCTCCTCCAGGTAGAGAGTACATAAATGGTAAATACCATTTTGTTGATTTAGTTGACACGGAGGAGTTTTCAATACATGAGTTGAGAGCTATGATGACAGAAGTAGGTTATGAAGATGATGCACCAACCTTTTATCATTTTAGACTTCCAGGCAAGGACTTAGATTTTGCCCACTAGTAGACAATGAAGTTGATGTTCTGAACCTATTAAAATATGCTCTGGGAGTCCAAAATAACAGAGGTTTACACAGTTGGTGGTGAATCTAATGAATCGGTTGGTGGTTTTGATCAATTTGATGACTTTAATCCATTTCATGAAGCAATGGAACTTCAAAACAATGAGACAAATGAAGAGATCGATGGTGATGCTTTTGTACTTGATGATCAGAAATGTGTTGGATGATGGTATAGTTGACATGAAAAGTGTTATGCCAAATTATGACATGGATGTAGAATGTAATAATAAAGATAAGAATGTTGTTATAGAAAATGATGATCATAATGATGCATTGTTAGAGTTGGAAGCTTCTGAAAGTAACATTGATAAATCTGATTTAGAGATCAAAAGATTTAAATATTTGAAGAAGCTAAGAAAGGAGAGAGGGCCTAACACAAGACTTGAAAGAAGTGTCAACTTTTATGTTGGTCGGGTTTTTGGTAGTAAAAAAGGAATAAAAATGATGATTGACAAACATGCCATTGAGACGAGAAGACAAATCACGGTTCTCAAGAATGATCTTCGTAGGATAAGGGCTGTTTGTAGGGGATTCATACCAAATTTAAAAGAAGAAGTAGATGAGACAAGCAAGCGTAAAGAGGACAAGACAAGTGGGCAAAGTTGCCCATGGGTTTTGCACATATTCGTAGGTAAACATGATGATACGTGGATGGTTAAAACAAATGTAAAAACCCACAAATGTCTTCAAGCAAGAGAAGTTTCAGATTGTACAGCATCTTTCTTATCCCAACAGATTTCAGATACACTAGTTGCAAACTCGGATATTCCAACAACGTCTTTGCAAATCAACTTGGAACAAAAGTATGCAAGTAAAGTTTCAAAGATGAAGTATTTCCTTTACTTCTTGTTCTGAGCACAGGTATTGTTTGAGGCATATACACGAAAACATGAAACATTAGTGGAAGGGGAGGGCATATAAGGAGCATCTTTGGAAGTGTGCAGCATCATCAACAGTACCAGATTTTCAAACAGCCATGAATGATTTGAAGGGTTTCAATATGTTTGCATATGAGTGGTTGAACAAAATACCTACACATCATTGGCAAGGTCACATTTTACAGGTATTTCTTGTGTCCCATATCAATAACTTTCAATGTTACTTAATTACGTCATCCCATATTAGCAACTTTCAATGTTACTTCAAGTTTTAGTTTTAGTTTGTCGGGTTTCGAAAGTAAATAGTTATGAAACTTCAAGGGTAAAGTTTGGCATTTGTTGGGAATGGACAGACCAATGGTGAAAACCATGGTCACCTCCTTGTGTTATGTGAATTTGGTCCAATGAGAGAAGAGAGAGAGGTGATGGATGCATATAGGGGGAGGAGGTGCATGCTCATGCACCGCCTCAAACCCCCGCCCCTTCCTCCTTGTTCTTCTTTACTTTACTTACTATAAATAGTAAGTAAGAGGGAACTGAAAAAGATTTTTTGGATACTGGTTTTGGTAAAAAGAAACTATGGCAAAACCTAATTGAAACAGAGAACAGTTAGAGCATCCGGTGAGGTCTCCAATTAAAGGTGAGTTTTACATGGCTTTGATAACTTGTGAGTTATTACCTTTCATATAGAAACTACTTGTTTTATGATATTAGAAAGTGTGTTAATTATCAAAATAGCATTATATCAAGTCTGTTAGAAACCTTCATCGCTCAAAGCTTTAACCGACAAGGCCCTTCATCGCTCAAAGCTTAACCGATAAGGCCCTTCATTGCTCAAAGCTTCATCCGATAAGGCCCTTCATCGCTCAAAGCTTCATCCGATAAGGCCTTCATCGCTCAATGTGTTAACCAGATTGAACCTTCATCGCTCAAAGCTTCATCCAATAAGACCTTCATCGCTCAATGGGTTANTCCGATAAGGCCTTCATCGCTCAATGTGTTAACCAGATTGAACCTTCATCGCTCAAAGCTTCATCCAATAAGACCTTCATCGCTCAATGGGTTAACCGGATTGAACCTTCGTCGCTCATTGTGTTAACCGGATTGAACCTTCGTCGCTCAATGTGTTAACCGGATTGAACCTTCGTCGCTCAATGTGTTAGTCCGGATTGAACCCTCGTCGCTCAATGTGTTGTCCGAATTGAACTCTCATCGCTCAAAGTGTTGTCCAGATTGAACCCTCATCGCTCACAGTGTTGTCCGGATTGACCATCATCGCTCACAGTGTTGTCCGGATTGACCATCATCGCTCACAGTGTTGTCCGGATTGACCATCATCGCTCACAGTGTTGTCCGGATAAGGGTGTCCATCGCTCACAATATTATCTGAAATGTGATGTTTTGAACTCTGATTGATAGATGGCGGTGTAACCGCGGTAGATGATAGATGGCAGTTTAACCGCGATGAATGTTTGATAATTTTATCATTTAAAATTAGGTCTGAAATGTATTAAAGTGTTACGGTAGATTTTATTTACACGAGGGAAATTCACTCACTAGACATTCTGGTCTAACCCTCAGTTGTTGTAATAATTTATTTTGTAGGTCATCCAACTTCGAAGGATAAAGGTAAAGGGAAGATATGAAGGAATCATGGAAGAAAGTTTTTGTTAAGACGAATTTTTGAAATTCAAACTTTTGTTATTATAACAGTACCGTACTGGAATGTTTGTGAAATATTGTAACCTGACGTATGTTATGTTATGAGTTAGTTATTGGTACTTGTTAGTATATGGTGTGTTGTTACATTTATGGTCCTAATTGGATGGGCTATATATATATATATGCATTACCAATCCAAGCACCAGGGTCATTGGCCTAGTAGTATCCCGCCAATACCTCTTGGAGGTCAAGGGATGAGGAGTACATGTAAGTAGTTTCCGTATATAATTATTATGTACAATAAAAAAAAGTTGAATCCATGTATAGGAAGAGAGAAACACCTTAAGATTCCTCAAACTGCTGAAGGTTTCTGGGAGCTCTACAAGAAGATTTGATGATAAATCAGCCTGCACAACATTGTAGATTCAATCCATGTTGCAAAGATAGCCAGATGTTCTTGCTAAAAAGAAGGAGATCTTACTTCAACAAGAGAAGAGCAGTTCCCTATGCATGAAGGAATGGCCCTAATCCTTCATACAAGAATATCAATTACCATTAGAAAATTGAAACATCATTTAATGTTTGAAGTAGTTTTCACAGCATATCCAAGTCCCTAATCCAATTGATAATCTTCAGAAAAGAATAAACATAAAGTTGAAAATAAAATTCAATTAGGTTATCCTCCCATGAAAGTTGGCAACACTCTCTACAATTGTGTCATGAAACTGAAACATTTCTTTCTTTCTCGTAAGTTTTTAATCCAAAATTGCTTGGTTAGTACAACATTCATAAATAGACATCGGTAAATTGCATGAAAAGTAAGACATTGATTGATAGTCAACTTTTTCTTTTCAACAATGTGTCTTTGGGACAAATTTGTAGTAATGATGTTGCCAATGTTGCAAGAACCAAGAACACTTGCAATCTAATTAAATATCGAAGACGAATTATAAGCATTACCCGGAAGAAAAAATGAGTAAAACTACAGAATTTTACCTGTTGTCATTGGCCTCTAAAACTTCAAGATGAAGTAGCAATCCTATTTCATCTGGAAGACATGTTAACTGGTTGTTTGCAACATGAAGCTCCTTCAAGGTAGTTAAGGCGCCCAAATCAGAGGGTAAACTTGTCAAACTGCAAATAATATGTAGCCAATTACAACAGATACTGGGATAATCGGTCCACAAGTAATACACAACAACATCAAAGTTTATTGTCATGTGGCTATGAGATGCTTACAGATTCTGGCTCAAAGACAAGAAAGAGAGAGATTTCAGTGATGAGATTCCTTTCCAACTAAGAAATTCATCTTTTATGCAGTTTGCATTCAAGAGAAGTTTCTACCAAATAAACATAAGATTCACATATTACTATATTTTCCAATAAGAACCTTTCAACAAAAAGAAACGGATGATTCTCTCACCTGCAATGAACTCAAACCACCAATAGCTTCTGGTATATCTTGTATTGAGTTGCAGTTGAGATCAAGAAATCTTATAGAAGATCCACAATTCCATACTTCATGAGGTATGACCTTTTTGGTTCAACTAGATCATATTAGTACCAAATGTTCACATTAAAGGGATCTTAATTCTACTAAAATTAACACGTTAATATGCATAGATACCTATCCCTTCACAAGAAAAAAAAAAAGGTTTTTATCTCAAACCAGTTGGGGCAGATTAAAAGCAGAAGATACTCATCACCAAATTATATGAAAAGAAAACAAAGATAATGGGGTTATAGGCATACCGCACATTAATGAATACAGGCAAATATGTGTACAAAGCTGTATAATCACTATTTGAGACAATACAATTAAGTACAGACAAACTTTATTGAAGTGTGGTTATGTAATATACATGGAGAGAGTGAAATAGGAGACGCATAATAAAGGTATAATGGTATGTGGGGTTCTAGTTAAGATCATCTTAAGCATTATAAAAAGTAGATTACAAAAACTTCAGATCTGTAATGGTCATATTTTGCATTAATCTTCTGAAGGCATAGGTTCTAATAGTTTGGAATGGTCTATGCTTGTTTTGTTGGGCATCCAAGAGTTCATAATGTAGTGGCTTCAAACGTGCCTTTCCAGGGACATGCTCTCTAAATCATATAATTTTGCCCTTATATTAATATACTTTAGATTTATCCAAGGACAACTGTTGACTCCTAAATTAGGTTTGATGATGAACAAACTTCTTATGAACACTTTGTATATTTGAGTTCTAAAATGTAATTGACCTATTCGCTGAAGATTTGAAGTAATGGAGAACAAAGCTTACAGATGACCAATAGTGGATAATCGAATTGGAAATTACAAAGTGTCATCAACTAAGGTAGCGTTTGGCACGCAGACATGATAGGAAAGGGTTGGACAGGACAAGAAGGCAGGACCGGATAGGACAAGTGTCTGATGTATGGTACGACTAGGACCAGAGAGAACAGAACTTGACAAGTTGTCCGTAAAAGTTATTTAATGATTTTATACATCATACAATAGTTATAAATGACACAAATAATTTAATGTATAAGCATTTTTACACAAATTTTATATACATGAATACATACATATATAATAGTACCCAATTTAAATGAAAATTATGTTTTATTCAGTTTGGATGATCTTTATGAATTGGCAGAGGCACAATGAACGACGTTGCATGTGATAACCGGGTTCCGGTTATATAATTTTGAGGTGGTTTTTGAAAGTTTGGTAAGTAGAGAATTTTAAATTCCTTATGTGTGATTACCTGTTTAAAATTCTTATTTATTCTCACCACCTTAAAAGTTTGTGTATAAGATATGTATTATATCTTATGGGGGGAAGGTATGAAATGAGTTTTAAAATAATAAAACTTCACAGCCTATGTTTAGCATATAAAAGTGAGAAGATAAAATTTATCTTATCTTATCTATTCTGTTTTGAGAAGAAAAGAAGAAGGATAGAGAAAAGTTACAGCGTGTGTGTAAACCTGTGTGAAAATCTGCGTGAAGCTGTTAGAACAAAGAAGTTGATTCTGTGGTCATATTTGGAATCTGTTGCTGTGAGATTCATCTTTGTATACGTGAATATAAGGCGAGGTTTGTTATTAAAATCTTATACGTTTAGTATTGAAAATACTTGAACTGATTGATGTTTATGTGAAAGGTAAACTGGTTTTTTGAAGTTGTTTGAGTTTAGAAAGGTAGACTGTTCTTGAAAGTTGTTTTGAGTTGATATTGAACCGGGTTTAGAACTGTAAAAGTTCTTGATATAAAGTTTCTGAGATAAAACTGTTTTAATGTCATTCTTGGCAAAAATGACAATTTTAGTTATGTTTTTATGAGGGAATAAGGGTGGCATACCAAGGAGAGGTGTACCATGAGATAAGGGTGGCATATCAAGAAGAGGTGTACCTTTGGATAAGGGTAGCATATCAAGAAGAGGTGTACCTTTGGATAAGGGTGCCAATTGTGAAATCTGAGTTTTGATCATAACTCTTGTTATCACATCCATGGGATGCAATGATTCGGAGTTGTCAATTTTGTGTGATGTGAAGACTTAGAATTATTGCTCTTATTGATATGATAACAATGATGTTGTGCAGAGGAAGAAAATGGCTTATAGCCAGAGGCTTTAATTGCCTGTGTTTCGAATAATCAATGTTTTTGGGATTTTGGATATTACACTTCAAATTTTTCAAAAGGGTAAAGGTTTTGGTGAGGAAACAGAGGGGCTCTGGTTGTTTCTTCAAGATTAACCAAAAGGCCTCTGGTTGTGGTGGAAAATCTCTTAAGTTTTTCAAAACTCATTTTAACCCAGAGGCTCTATATGTGCTATACAGAGGCTCTGTATCATGAAATTTAACAAGTATAAGCTCTGTCTGAGCTCTGTATCTTAACTCTTGATTTCTTGTACAACTTTATAAGTTTAACCTTTTTAACTTGATCTTTTACAAATATAGTAGAGAACCAGAGAGGATCTGGTTAACTTTCATGTTTTATCCGAGGGCCTCTGGTTATGTTAAAATCTTATTTGTTTTCTTATATCTCATCTTTTTATTTTCTAAAAGTTGGTCATGCATCCTTAGTTATTTTTGAAAGTTGGAAACCAGAAGCTCTGGTTGGTAAGACCAGAGGCTTTGGTCGATTAGAGGGGCTAGAGGGGCTCTAGTTAGCTTAACTCTGGATTTCTATATACTAAGTTGAGTGACCAAAGGAGTTATGATTGATTATTTTACGTGTTTATATCATTTTTAAGAATGATATGGATTTCATGATTAAAGTCTTTAATAACTTTCTTTTATTTGGCTTTGCTCTAAGAGCCAGAGGAGCTCTGGGTAATCCCACATTGTGGGATACAAGGACTTTGAGAATCTCGCACAGAGTGATGCGAGGACCTGAGTGGATATATGCCATGTATGGTGAGGCAGATTTATAAACTCTTATTGAATTGTGATATTTGAGTTTTGACTTAGAAAATGTTGAAGATATATTTGTATATTTACAAAGCTAATTTTAAAACAAATTTGGTGAATTTTCACCCTGTAATTGTATAAAAAAGGGATTTCTCACTAGACATCAAGGCCTAACCCTCATTTTGTGTTTCAAAAATATGCATTGCAAGTCGAGATATATCCAGGGTTAAGGGGAAGGGGAAAATGTGAAATTTTTCCTGTTGTGCTTACTTGATTTATGAAGATCAGTATGTTATTTGTTGAATTTTTTGGGAATACTGGTTTCTATACCAATTATGTACAAGAATGTTATTTTAGGAAATTTTTGGTTGTAAATTTTGTAATATAGCTTCTTGTACTGTTGGGACCGAAGATGTACTATTCGTATTTCCTGATATATGAAATACATGATTACATGCAAAAGTGGGATGTGGAGTGTTACATTGCAGCGACAATGGTTGTGGAGGTAGAGGCAATGGTGGTTGATGGATGACGGTGGTTGTGGAGGACGTGAAGATGGTGGATACTAGTGGTTGTGGTGGTAGACAATGGTGGCTGTGGTAGTTGTGGCCGATGTGGTGGAGGTAGTGGTGGTGAGTGGTGGTGAATGGTAATGGTAGCCGATGGTTGTGGTGGTGGTTATAGTGGAGGTGGCTGACAGTGCTAGTGGTGGTGGTGATGGGCGGTGGTACTCGGTGGCTGATGGTGATTGTGATGGTGGTGGTTGCTAGTGGTGGTTGATGGATAACATTGGTTAGTGGACGACGTGAAGATGGCGGATAGTGGTGGTGGTGGCGGCCAACAGTGGTGGAGGTAGTTGTGGTTGTGGCCCATGTAGTGGAGGTAGTGGTGGTGGTGAGCAATGGTAGTGGTAACCAATTATCATGGTAGATGTGGTTCTAGCGGAGGTGGCTGACGGTGGTAGTGATGGTGGCAATTGGCAGTGGTTGTTGGTAGTTATGGAGGTCGTGGAGGGAGTTGTAGTCAAAGAGGAGGTGGAGGTGGAGGTGATCAATGGTGGTCAATGGTGGCTATTGGTGGCCACCGGTGATGGTTTGCGGTTGCGACTGGCGGTGGTGACAATTATAACAAATACGATATAAATATTATATATCAAATAGGGTAGATTAGTAGTATTTTAGTTTCTGGCTCATTCTTGGTCCATCTTGTTCCACCAAAGAAAAAGCTTTTTTTGTCCTACGCTATCTCACCTTGTCCTAGTTCTTGTCCCTGTCCCATGTCGCGCTGAACGTGGAACAATAAGTTTTTATAGTTTAGGTTGTGAATAAAGCAAGCCCTAAAAGAGCGCTGAAACTATACCTTCCTTGTCCCTCTGGACCTATTCACCTCACTAACCCCCCTGTTGTTGGATATTTAGAGTCAGTTGGATCAGAACCAGCAACAGATCCTACTATTAGTTTATGGTCTCTGCCTTTCTTTACTATGTTCCTATCTATGGATCTCGTGTAAAAAAAGAATAAAAATAGGCTGGTTTAAGGACGGAAGCTCCCGAACCCCGTCGCTCGTCTTATGGAGACGTGTGTGCCAGGGGAATGGAGGGCAGTGGGGAGATGAGCTCTTTTGAGCTACAGTTTATGCATATTCCTATATTGCRGATCTACTGTTGGAAGCTCTTGTTTCCATGTACCAAACACAGCCTAAAAGATCAACATTGGACGATGCAAAGCGTCCAGCATCTGAAGGATCTCAGTAACATAAAAGGCTAATGCAGTTTTTCAACAGAAACACGAAGAATCGCCATTAAGATGCTCAGGGGCCAAAAGTGAAGACATCACTAAAGCTGACGATATCACTAAAGCTGAAGTAACACTAATGTTGATATCACTCGAGTTGAAGATTGGTTCGAGAGAGCATTACCAAGGTCACACACTGCAGACTCCATGGCAACCAAGACAAGGCACCTACTGTCACTAAAGTTGAATAAAGTAAAGTTGAAAAAGATGTCACCACTAAAGACCGACTCCAAGTGTCATTGATCCTAAAGCACAAGCTGACCTAATGTATTACCGAAGGGGTGTCGATGACACTGAAGGCCTCAGCTACCAGCACTGGCAAGAAGCTCAAAAGTTGAACATTGTTTTATGATAGATTCAAAGTCTTGACCTGAGCCAAGGACTTATATCCAACAAGTTGAGTAAGTTATGTCTTACTCATATCGAGCAATCCAAAAAGACACTCCTTATGACCCACGTGAAGTTGCAGACAAAGAACATAAGTCTACCCAAAAGTATTAGAATGCAAAGATGTGTTTAAAGCAACATTTATGCAACATGTCTAGCACTAAATGCACTATGAATTGCTCTCTAAGTATTAGGGGATCCTATATCACATCAAGAAAAAAGATAATTGTAGTTGCTTCACCAAATGGAACAATAGATCTGCAAAGAATTTGCAGATCTTCTAGCGATTATCCAAAGGAAAATCCAACGTGTATGAATATCCTCTCTACCTTTCAGAGTAAAGAGACAACCCATCCAAAAGCGAGTAAGCAAAACCCGTAACCATACTAAATGTAAACAAGAATCATGTTAGAAGGGATTTCTCTAAGTAGGGTTCTTCAAGAGATGAATAAGGATGAACAAAGCAAGAATGCTCTGTAGTTAGCATTCAGTGAAGTCTTGCTATTACAAGCAAACTTAGTCTATTCATCCTACCTCTTAACTAGTCCTAGTCACATTTATAACTTAGAGCTTTATACCCGGAATGTGGAAGCATCTTGTAATCCATCATCTAAGAAGGCGTCTATTTCAGGCCTAAAATCATCAAGTGGTTTGAAGCCTTATTCCGCACATGATGAGATTCTTGTACTAAAGTTTATCAATGAGAAACAAGGATTTGTATTCAACCCCTCCCTTTTTCTTACAAAATACTTGTGGAGTTGTCGTAAGCCCTAAGGAACCCAAAAGACCTTCATTCCAAGGACATCATCATGATTCTTGAAACACAAGAGGCATACAAGATAAACCCTTTCTATTCATTCTTTGATTCAGGTTTGACCTTTCAAAAAACATGTAACATAAAACTTTTGGAGTAGATACAAACTAGTTATGTCATCAAATTAAATATAAAACTATCAATACCCAACAAAAAAATACATAACAATTGAAATGAATGGCTCTAAACCAAATCATATCTTGTGGACAATTGACAAAGTTCGCTCAATAGCCCACAATTATCAATATATAGCCAAGATCTCAACGATGACAATTAACAAGACCTATTCACGGAAGCAACAAATGCAGCTCCATGAATTACCTTTACGTCACTATTAGACAGGGCTATAACCCCAGTAAGCTTCCATCTTTTAGATTGACTCTTCACAAGAGTCACTTGTTTCTCCCTTCTACCGGTTTCTGGAACTCTCCTTAAATTCGAAGCCACCGTAGTTTCGTTCTTGATGGGACCACTCTAAGACAATGAAATTGTAGTTTCTCGATCAAAACCAAAAATCCCCAATTCTATGACAAATCATATTCAAGTGACATATTTCTTAAACCAGCTTTCTATCTCTATATATGAATCATCAAATTACCCCTTGATGTAGACCTTGGGAAGCAATGAGCTGTAACTTATAGATTCCATTGTATGTCCCCAATGAGCTAAATTTCTCTTCATCATCAAGAATTTTCCCTGCAATACATCATCTTCAAAAGTTAGGCTTTTTTTTTCAAGTGTTGAATATGTTGTGTATACAGAAATTAGCGATGGTTACCTTTAGAGATTAGTTTCTGACCGCGGGGAAGAACATCAGTGAGTGGTTGAAGCAGATATTTTAGATCTTTGACGGTGGAATCAACAGAAAGATTGATCGGTATCGATCGTCCGTTGAACTTCACACTTATTTTTACATTGTTTATGGGATCGCTCCGATCAGCGGTAGCGCCGTTCGTCGCCATTTGGAACCCCAAGCTCAGAGCAGTCGTGACGGAGGACGATGTACAACTGTAATTGCTATCGATACAAACATAAGTTGGTATTTTTTTTAAGTTTACGAACCGATCTAACCCATAGGTTTTGGGCTCCGACTCCGAGTGACTTATCGGGCCATATCTATACTACCTTATTAAACATCTATATTCAAAGTTTTAAAGTCTTAATTTTTTTAATACCCAAAATACTCTTTCTTCCTTTACACCCATCCCCTCTCCACTACTCTTCTACTCGCATGCTCTCCACGACTCTTCTCCCTAAACCAGATTCGCACGCTCCCTAAACCAGATTCGCACGCTCTCCACTACTCTCCTCGCATGCTCTCCACGACTCTTCTCCCTAAACCAGATTCGCACGCTCTCCACTACTCTCCTCGCATGCTCTCCACGACTCTTCTCCCTAAACCATTATCGCACTCTGCCCAAAGTCTGTTCTCTCTATCGCATGCTCTCTATCCGGTTCTCTCTACCTCAGGCGACTTATAAATGATCTCCCTCAATCGCCCTGCATCTCTCGCTCTCGCTCTCGCTTTGCATCTCTCGCTCTGTCTCTGCATCTCTTCATTCTTCGCCCCTRGTACGATTTCATTCTTGATTTTATTCAAGGTTGCTTTGCGTTTTAGGGTTTAATTTTTTTCCCCTTTGTTTTGGGTTTGAGGGCTTGAAGCAATACAACGGTTTGGTTTAAAGCAATACAACGGTTTGAGGGCTTGAAGCAAAACTCTGGTAAGCATTACTTCTATTGATGATATATGGCACAATACTCCATTACAGCTCTATCATCATCTAATTCTTAACACTGTTTTGCATAACATTAACAGATGATTGTCAACGCAGCTTCTCTACCTGCGCAGCAGCACAAGGCATCAGGTTGATTGACATCATTGCTTTGTTAGTCACTCTTGAGGTAAATAATATAAAGCAACAAATATATTTTTATTAGAGGGTACTTGGTTGGGGTACTGAACCTGGTCCTTCTGTAACCTTTGGAGATAATGCCAGAGGTACCACTAGAGGATATGGTGTTCTTTCTAACGGCTCGGTTACCTTCAACCGAGTAGCCTATGTGGAAGGACTGAAGCACAATCTGTTAAGCATCAGTCAACTATGTGATCTCAACTTCATTGTGAAGTTTGAAGAAAACCAGTGTACTATTCTTGACTCTTCTGGCAAGAAGGTATTAACTGGTGTCTGAAAGGATAATGTCTATGTGATCAACATGGATTCTTCTAGCTCTTCCGACGCCAATATCTGTTTCTACTCCGAGGCTACTGCTGATCAAAATTGGCTATGGCATAAAAGGTTGTCCCATCTCAACTTCAAAACCATCAACAATCTTTCTAGTAAAGATCTGGTTATTGGACTTCCGAAGATGTCATATGCCAAACTGAAGCTGTGTGCTGCTTGTGAAAAAGGCAAGCAAACCAAAGCAAGTTTCAAGTCCAAGATGTGCTCTTTTATTTCTACTCCTTTGCACATGCTCCACATGGATCTCTGTGGTCCTGTGAGTGTACAAAGTTTGGGTGGAAAACGTTATACTCTTGTTATTGTGGATGAGTATTCAAGATATACTTGGGTCTTCTTTCTTCAACACAAGAGTGATGCAGCTGAAGAAATTATCAACTTTGTGAAGCGGACTGAAGTCTTGAATGGTCAACTTGTCAGATCAATTCGAAGTGATAACGGCACTGAATTCAAAAAACAGTGTTCTTGAAAGCTTCTTTGATGACAAGGGTATTTCTCAAAATTTCTCAGTAGTTCGGACTCCACAGCATAATGGAGTTGTTGAAAGGAGAAATCGTACACTATGTGAAGCTTCACGTTCAATGCTAAGTGAAGCTAGTCTTCCGACCTATTTTTGGGCTAAAGTTGTTAATACAGCGTGCTTTACTCAAAATAGGTCTATAATTATAAAAAGACACAATAAGACTGCTTATGAAGTATTTCATGGTAGAAAACCAAACATCAGCTTCCTTCATGTGTTTGGTAGTGCATGCTATATTCTGAATGACAGAGATCAGTTTGGAAAGTTTGATCCTAAATCTGATGAAGGAATCTTTGTTGGTTACTCTCTCTTCTCTAAAGCCTACCGGGTGTACAACTTGTGTCGTCAATGCATTGATGAATCTGTCAATGTCAGATTTGATGAATCTGGATCGGTGCCTGCAACATCATCATTCCAAAGTGATGATCTTGAGCTCAATAAGTGGTTGGAATCTCAYTCCTCTGAGAATTCAACTCCACTCGATGGACCTTCACATTCTAATGGAAATGATGTTCCACCTGCTGAGGAAGATGAGAATTGTTTTTCCCACTTTCACTGATCAATCTTCATGTTATCTTCATAATATGGCAGATCTGGATTTATCTTATAAGAACATCAAGAACAATATTGAGAGGAAAAGTCAATCTCTACAATTTAGTCAAACCTCTCATTTACGTAATATGATTTACAAATGAGCTCTCTTCTTTCAAATTACAAAGACAACCTACTATTTATATGGTCAAACTACTAACACAAGTCAAAGTCAAACCTGTCTAATAAAAGTCAAACACGATGACTTTTACAATTATAGACAATATTTAACTTTCAAGACGAATACAATTTAATACTGATTTTCAGTCCTAACATTCYCCCCCTTTGTATTCAGACTTGAAAGAAATTCTACACTTTAAGTCCTGTTTGAACTTTGAATCTTTAAGCACAAAAATGTCATCTTCATAAGAAATCTTCAACTTGAAATCTTTAAGCAATCAACGGTTGAGAAAGATCTTCTAACATTCTCCCCCTCGAATGTAGAACCGCGATGATCTTCTCTTTTGACAATGTAGAACAGTAATAAAAACAATCTTCAGAAACAATGTATAAGATTTGATCTTCAAAGGATCTTCADAATTAATCTTCAGTAAACTATTGTAAAGATGATCTTCACATTCAATATCTCTCAGTCGTTGTAGCACACAAATAATCTTTCTGTAATCATCTTCAGTCGC